AGCAAAGGGTCTGAATACTTATGACCATGTGATATTTCAGTTTTTCTTTTTTAATAAATCTGCAAAAATGTCAAACATTCTGTGTTTTTCTGTCAATATGGGGTGCTGTGTGTACATTAATGAGGAAAAAAATGAACTTAAATGATTTTAGCATATGGCTGCAATATAACAAAGAGTGAAAAATTTAAGGGGGACTGAATACTTTCTGAATACTTTCCATACTCACTGTATAAAGTGTGTAAATGTAAATAATTTGTAGTGAATCCTCAATACCAGGAATGCTGAACATTGTAGTAATCATGCAGAAATCTGTTGTGCAAAAACTAACACATTAAAATTCACTGTCAGAATGTCCCTTTATGCTCCACCACACATTGTGAATAATTTATTTTGACACACTTGGCTATGAAGAATGCAGTCTTGGGATAAAAAATTATAGTTGGCAGGAATGTTTATTTTTCTAAGTGCAAAAAAACTGTTTGTTCCTGGAACCAGCTACAGCTCATCACACCTTTTCCCAAAAAGAATGAGCCTGTTGTGTTTTTATTGTCACTGAGCCTTTGAATGTTGTTTAGGTGAACACAGCGATCCAGCTCTTTTTGGTCGCTGCTTCTCTGGCTGCTCCAGTCTTCCAGTATACAGACAGTGTCCTGTTGCAGTGCTTATGGTAAACCACGTGCACTATTACATATGCATACACACACCGGTCTCATGCACTTGACTTTAATATCCATAATGTCCTGCTGTGAAGAGGAGTTTTCAGCGCAAATGGTTTCATCTCAGTCAAGCACATAAATGCTGTTTGTTCCAGCGTGATGTTCAGGTTAAGTGCACTGACTCATTTCAGTCTACAACTCGGAGCGAGTTGGAGTAGGACTCAGACTCAGGACAAACATGTTTGTGTTACAGTAACCTACATTTTAAATACAGCAGCAGACTGGCTGACATAATTACTGGTGTTATTCTTTGTCTTGCATGGCTGTTAAAGATTTTGACTTAATTTTTACAATCCATACAGTCACAGTTGCACTTTTATGGCACTCGGTGATTAGAACTGCAAATGTAATCTTTTGTTTTTAATGTATAATTTTTGTGATCAATTGGAGACAGACAGACAGGAAGCAGAGAGAGGGGGTTAATAGTTGCAACAGGGGTCTCCTGGTTGTGAATGGAACTGTGTATGTTGGGGTTATGTGGTGTGCACCGTAATAATTAAGCCATCAAACAACACGCCTCTTCAAATTTGATGTGCAGAACTGAATTACATAATTTTAATTCAAGTTTAATAGTTCAATACATTGTTTTAAAATGTATCAATCAGCTGGCCACTGGAGGATGAGTATTAATTTCTCATCATACAGAAAAAGATGTTGTAGCCATTTAAAATAAGCAAATTTAACCAATCTGGTTGAATAAAGATGACAGAATTACTGTTTTGTTTTGCATTATATTGCAGGTATGTTACCGCGGTGACAACAGCAGCATCAGGCTATAGCTACTGGCACTATGGCCGCAAGACTGTCCAGGTGCTGAACACCAAATCACCATGAGTGACACAGCAGGAAGCACCAAGAGGGCAGAACAAAGGCAGCAAACAGCCACTGATTAGCTGTGGAAGAAGTTGGACAGACAGACGGACAATCTCCAGGAGCACTGAAACCAAGTGGCTGTGACAGCCATTTATGGGTTGTCATGGCAATGACACGTGGAAGCCAAACAAGGCCGCAGATGGTTGATTCCAACACTACAGAAATGCCTAACAGCACCTCTGCCACTGGACTGGCTGCGGACAGGACACACGCAGACAACCAGGAATAGCAAACACCGATATGGACCATCCACCCACACACACGTTTCAAGTATGTGTCAGATGATACGACAAGAGCTGCTGCTTTTCTTTATTTCAGGTTTTTAGTCAAAAGGTGTTGTCAGTCTAATCATTGTTAGATAATTGTCACTTTTGTAAAGCAATGAATTATGATTAAAATTGAAAATCAGCTTTGTTTGTGTGTGTGTGACTGTTTAAGATGCATAACTGCTTTTCTTTAGGGGAAAAAAAACTTGTATTTAATTTCACAAAAGGAATCTGACAACTGATCTATTTGTGATCAGCATCAGAGGGTTAAACAATGGGTCTGAAAATAAGATGACATGCGGTCAACTGCTGCACAGGACCGGCACATCTTCTGGCTCCTGACTTTAGCTGCTTGTCCTGAGATTTAATGCTAAAGCTGCAAATTAATATTTTTACTCAGCTGAGCAGGAACAATATTAACTGATTAAGCCAGTGGCTCCCACACTCTTTATGAACATCTTGGTGTTATAATCTGGGAAAACCCAATAATGTAAAGTACCTGAAACACTAAAAATAAGGCAAATCTAAACAAAAATAGAAAATTAGTTCAGCAGACTTTATTAAAGTTGGTGTATGAATCACATCGGACTTGATTAAACTGAGTACAAGAAAAAAAGTTGGACCAGTCAATATTTAACATTTTTACCCACTCTTCACGTCAAATCCTCATAATACAATTACCATTTTAAGAAATAAACTCATTGAAAAACCTATGTTCATAAATCAGTCACTGAAATGCAGCCTAATTGTCGTTTAATTATGTGATGGACTCAAAGCTGCCAAGTTGTTAAACCTTCTCTAGTAAAATATTAGTGCGATTCAGATTACTGAACAGAAAACAAAAGTCTCAGCCATCAGTCTCAGTACGGTCTCATCCAACCACCAGCTGAGAGAATCAGAAAAAAGCTCTGATTCTTTTACATCAGTTACAGCAGACGCCGTGCTCGCCTTTCTCACTGTGTTCAATATGGAGGAACGATGCAAAGACGCTCTCAGCAGAAAACTGATGTACTGTATATCAGTTGATATTGGATATAGTCATATTTTATTACCAGCTGCATAAACAGTATAGACATGTATGTTTTCTCACATTCAGCAACAAAATTTAGAACACATGATTGGATGATTGGATTGTTTTTAATACAGTGACATAATGTAACACTAGACAACAAAATCTTAGTCATCAATGTTTCTGATATTCTGTGGCTGCAGTATTTGTTAAGGATTTTCAATGTGGCTCAAGTGAAAAGCACAGATTTTTTTTTAAAGCAAATATTAAATTATGTATGAATACTGTAAATGCCAAATGCATGTGTTCACAAATTAGTTTGACCCATGAAGGAGCAGCTAAGTAGTTTGATCTACCAGCTGTTCAGTTCCCTTGTTAGCGAAACACACAAACTTTGTGTGTTCTGAACATGTTCAGGTTTAAAGCCTGAACCAACTGTCAGCTACTGGCACCAGCGGAGTAGCAGGTGTGGTGTCACTGACTTACTGAAATATTTCAAACTACATTTCAATGAGAGAAGATGCAGGCAAACATCCATTATCACAAAGAGAAAAGAAAAAAGAAATGAAAATTTCCTCCTTTGTATGTTCACATTGTGCCTTTCTGGTGATGTAGTTTATGGTCTTTTTTATTTCTCTTCTTTATCTTTTAGCAAAGGTAGGTTCTGTGTATTGTGTAACATACCAGTTTTTCTGTTTTTGAAAAACCATTTAGATCTCAGGAGACCATCCTTCTTTTGCAAACATGAGGGTAGTTTTGAAAACTGCTGCAACAACCAGTAAAAAAAATTAAAAGCCCTTCTAACACTGATACAGATGATTTAGTGATGGAGGCGAGAGCTGTAAAATGTGCCTTCACACTTCACAGCCCAGCTCTTCAGAACCCACAGACAGGCTGAATCACGCTAACAAGGACAGGCTTTGGATCACTATGCTTATGTCAGCACGGCCCTTTGGCTACCGTTCACTGTTTCAGTCAGTCCTCCATCAAGGGATGCTGTCTCCCCCAGAGCTGAAGAAAACGTACCTCTCCTCAGCAGCATCTTGGGAGAGACTTCGTTGTCCTAAATATTGTACAGAGCAGGAAATAGGATTCTTTTGACCTTTTGATGTTTGGAGGACACAAAGACTAAAACTGGTAGAAAAGATTTATTTCAGTGTTAGTTGTGTTTTGAAGCTTAGCCTTCCTCCCAATAGTTATTCCTTTTTTTCCCACTTACAACATTTGAAAAGCTGAGCCTGCATTTCTCACATGTACTTGAACAACCAGTTTTTCCTTGGTTTCTCTTAAGTGGTTTAAAAAAAAAACAAGCATTCTACATACTTAAATTACAACACTTCAGCCTGACAAAAGCTTTCTAAATGTTATTTTGACCTGGCTGACTGTGTGTGATTTCTGTTTTTCTGGTTCCTTTGCACTTGAAGGAGTTTTTGATCACACACCCTTTTAAAGACTTATGGAATTTGTCTTTCAGTCTGACGTCCAGTGTCACGCTGGTTGTGGATCCACGAAACATGGGGCTTGTTGTTTTATCCTGTGTGGTTTGACCTAGTAGAAGACAGTCCAATCTGCATTTAACAGTTTTAATAAATCAATTTTATTACTGTTTTACTGCTTTTATCACTACTTTGACAATATCTGCTCTGTGATGTTTCTGATGCCAGGGTTGTTGACATTCTTTATCCTGTCTTCTAGATCATTAAATGTGGAGGGCATTGGTAAATTCAATGGGATACATCCACTGTAAGTCATGAATAGCTCTAGAAACTTTTATGGAAATCCATCCATTCTTTGTTGAGAAATTACAGTTTGGACCAAAGTGGCGGACAGACCGTGCTGCTAGCATAGCTACTAAGGCATCGTATTTTCACATGTACTCCTAGAGGTATACAGTAGTGCAAATAGTTTTTGTTTCATCTGATCAGGCTCAGATTTCTGCCTCCACCTCAGTGCAGTTAAGTAAAAGTCTGTAACATTTATAAAACTCAACAGCTCACTGTTTTCAGGCATTATGTCCATGTTACTCTCCACAAAACAGTTTTTAGGCACCCTCTCTTTAGTAGAAAGTAGGAGTAACCCCTTGCAAATGTTTTTCAGAGTTCACCAGAAATTCAGTGAGCTTTTTTGGGAGAAGATTGCAATTACAGGAAGGCTTTGGAAAGGCTCTTATCAGAGCTGTGAAAGGATGCTGCTGCCACAACACCTGTCTGTGGCTGCAACAAGTAAAACTGCAGGCGCTTTCCAGTTGCTATGCGGCTCTGTGGTGATTGCTGCCCGGTAAATGCGTGTACCAGCAGCTGGTGTGACTGAACATCGGCACAGAGGTTCGGAGCCAAACTTTTTCAAACCTGACTGGTTATGAAACCCACTGAATCAGAGTCCTTGTAGTTCCTACTGCAGGCCTACACACACAGCAGCACCAGTACAAAGCCATATGGGTACTATAGCCTTGCACACACACACACACACACACATGCACACGTATGTCTTTTCTGGTCCTGAAATAGCTCTCAGCCTCCCACTCTCCCTTATATAAGCTCCCAGCATGGAGATCTGCTGGGTGTGTGTGTTAATGCATGTGCCTGTTTATGTGTGTGCACCTCTGTCTGTGTGACTGCCAGTATGTGGGCAGTAGGAGTGTCTTGAGTTGTGTTTGACACTATAAGTACTGTATACTTGTGTGAGTGTGTGCATGTGGGGAAGCATTGGTTTCTGCTGGTATTGCAGTGTGCAGGAAAAATGTTTTTTAATAATCTGGTTTTTATTTTTTTGTAATTTGTCCATCTGTTGTGATACTGGTGGCATTATTAGCCTGCAGCTCATCAGGGGAAGCAGCTCAGATGATGAGGTTGTAAATGAACGCTAAGATGCAATCTGACAGTTTTACCAAAAACCGAATAAGAAAAACACTCAAATTGTAAATGTACATTTATTATATTATACTATATAAGAACACAATATACTGCAAGTGCAAGTATTAGTCTTTTTAATGTTAGGTCATTATTTCATTTCATTTATTTTCAAAAAAAAACAATTTTGAGGATTTATCGGCAATTTTTATTTAAAAACACTAAAAATAAGGTGCACATAAAACAAAACATCGGAAATCCAAGGTGGGATTTTGGTTAAAGTTAACTATATGCAGCTATTTTGTATTTTAGTTGGGTTGTTTTATTTTATTTTTTATTCTTTATAGACAGACCCTGAAGCATAATAAGCATCTTCTTTGCCATTTCTTTGGGGAGTGGAAATAAGTTTTCAAGTTTCTGTACTTTTTAAATTACAATTGGTAAAAATGTAAAACACTAAGCCATAATAACATGATGAAACTTGGTATTTGTTCTTACAACCTGCCTGAACTCTCTCATGTTGCTCGTCCTAATAAACTTGAGACCCAGGTTGCAATCATGATATTCAGTCTTAAATTATTAATGTAGAGAAGAAATCCACAGGAGGAATCTCTGCTCCCCGACTGCTATAAACAGACAGCACTTACCTACTGATGGTACTGTATGTTTATCCTGATCACTGGGCTTTTTGTATGCACGCTCTGTAGGAAGCTCCTGCACTGAGTCCATCAGAAGTAAAACTTCCCGCCCCTGCTCTGGAAGCTCCTCTGTGGCTCCGTTTCATCTCACTGAGCTGCAACCCAGAGCTCTTTAACTGCTCTTTTGTGCTGACAGCCTTGAACCTGTTCCCCAGTGTTTACTGAAGCAAAGCCTTTATAAATGTAGATGAAAGCAGCATAGCTCATTCTGTCAGGTAGGAAATGTCTATCAGAATGGAATACTACCATTTACAGAATGATAAAGTAGAATTAATGTGATTTTCACTGCGTTATTTTTACTTCACCTTCCTAAGGTTCTGCAGCTGCAGCTGAGTGAGGAGAGTTAGTAAAGCTGGATGTCAGGGCCATGTCCTTTTCAAAATTAAAGTCTGGATGAGGAAAAGTCATCTGGAAGTAGATTTTAAACAGCATTTATACTATATTATTGCATAAAAGCAATATTCAGTTTCATACTTGTCCATATCATCTGATAAGGATAAACATAAGCTATGCCGATGCACTGGGCAGTGGCACTGACTAACAGTATCAGGACAACATGAGTCCCTGCATGTGTCTTTTCACACACTAAAGTGTGGAGGAGGCTGGCCTTTATATTCTATATCAAGTCTGTAATGTATTATACTGTACCTGCGGGTAATGTGTAGGCTACTGAATCCTACTGTGGCACTGGAAGAATTCTGTATGCTGTTGTGTAACAGTATTTTCCTGCAAGCAAGTATGTATGTGTGTTAAGGAAAACGCATGTATGGTTGGTTTGCAGTGTTGTGTGCCTTTGGATTTTATTGTACTTAAAAGAATAAAGTTGTATTGGTTTTATTTTAATAGTATTTTCAACTCTTCCCACTTTTAATGTCTGTCACATCTGGTGCATGGCCAGTTGAGCGTTACTACTTCAGACAGTGTGAAAAGTTGTTTGGAGCTTTTGGCGCATCATTTTTAATAGATATGTGAGTCTAAAGAGGAAACGCCACCCAGTGCAGCGGTGTGCTTCCCTGGTGTGTTTTAAATCTATAACAGTGGAGGTCTGTGACAGACCTGTTTGGTTTTGATGTGATACCAAGTATTACCAAGGCCAAAATCACCATTCTGAATGCCACCTTCGATATGTTTTATTATTAAGAGTATCTGTTTTGTTATGTCACTAATTATTATGAGGTGACTGCATCATTTACAGGCTACTTCTGAATCATTACCCCTAATTATCTGCCAAACATAAAGATTCTTTTTTTACTCTGTTAAATATATTAGTACATACTGTATTTATTGGGACGATTTTAAGAACAAAGACCTGACTGTGCACGTATACACATTAGCAGCAGAGAACCAAAGAATGTTCATGTGTCCAGAGTGTGATTTGACAGGGCACGGATCATATTGATACTCAACACAAGACTTAGTATCAGTAGTATCGTCCCCCCCAACCTTAAAGAAATGAAACCCTTTTCCAGTTTAAGTGTGGAAGAACTTGACTGGCCTACATGATCTCACACCCATCCAACATCATCACTGTAAGACAGACTTTACTGGCCGATGCTGACCAGGAGGCTGTTATAACAGCAGGTTGTTGCCCCTGGGTTACGAATCACAGTCACATATGAGTGTGATGTTCAGTGTCCACATATTTTTGACAGTGTAGTGTATATTCAAGAGTGGCCTCATTTGACCGGAATCCTGGTTTGGTTTGATTCACCTCCTTCTAAATCGCCTACTTGCTCTCCATTTTCTCCCACTAGCTCTCTATTCTCTCTCTTTGTTTCACTCCTTCATCTTCTTCTCTTTTCATTTCTCTCCCACTCTCTTCTTTATTTCTCTCTGTCTCTCCCTGCTGCTCTGCTCTCCCTCTCATATCCCTCCCCCATCTGTGGGAAGCTGCTGTTGTGCGCATGTCGCCGATGAGTCAATTTGTGGAGACAGTGCACGCACATACACACACGCGTGTATCCTGTCTCCCACGAAGGCATCTGTTTCAGTCTGTCTCTGTGAGATGCTGCACCAACAGAGGAGAGAGGTGGAGACAAGCTGAGGGAGGGAGGGATAAGAGAAGAAGGAGAAGGAGACACACAGCAGAGAGAAAGAAGATAGGGAAGAAGAAAGACTGAGAAAAAGAAGAATGAACAGAGAGGAAGACAAGACAAGTGCAGCCAAAACACGGGACACAATCTAAGGAGGAGAGGATGCTGCTGCAGCTGAGCATCTCTGCCTGACTTCTGAGGAGTTTGGTCTCAGACATGACAAAGATGCTGCATCCAAGTGTCTGAGGCTGAGCATCCCCAGTTTGTGTGTGCGAGAGACAGTGTGTGTGTTAATGTGTGTGAAGCCATGGCGAGTGCTCAGCCGGGGGTCCATGCATTGAAGCTCCAGCCTCCCTCCGTCTCTCAAACACTGAGGAACGGAAGTAACTTCATTAAATGGGACGAGGTAAGTAGACTCAATTTCCTTAAGTACTTAATGCAGAAAAACGGAAGCAGAAGTCAGAGAGCTTTAATTTGACTTATGTTTTCTCAGTTTATTTTTTGCAGTATAAGAACATGATTCTTATTCAGTCCATCTGAATTAAAAAGGAGTGAGTGAAATGGGGGAGGAAGCAGTAGAAATGTGCCATGTTTGTCAGATGTGTTTATTGTTCATTTGTTGATGGAGCTTTGGCAGCAAGTACCTGTGGATTAGATGCCAGTGAGACAGAGAAGAGTGTGACAGCATGTGTGAGTACGTGTGTCTGTGTGCCAGAGAAATGCAGTGATGGTCATTGTCTTTGTTTCCACCTGTTGTTATGGAAATGGTATGCATTTAGTGTGCTCTGTGTGTGTGCACGCGCACACACGTGCTGCACACAGATACACAACTCCTCCAGGGCCTTCATGTGCCACAGTCAGATGCATAATTGTAGGTATTTGCTGAGCTGTGAATAATGTGTGTGTTGGTATGCTGAAGTACGAAGACCTGACAGTGAGAAATGTGCTGTCCGGTCACCATGGTAACTGGCATGATTACCACCACCTAAACAGATAAGATGTTTGTGAGAAAGAACAGATGTTTGTTTGTGTGTGTGTGTGTGTGTAAATCAGTGTATTGAGCCAAATAATACCATGAATCATCCTTATGGAAGAGCTAATCTGTTAATCCTATTGAATCTGTTCATCGTGATTGAAGTTAGTGTGTGTATGTTTTCATATTTGAATTTCTCCAACATAAAGAGCTGAGCTTTATGAAAAATAGAATTGGTTGCTATGCCAACGAGCCACAACCAGGGGATCTAGTTAACCATCTTCAGAGCTTTTTTCCTAGTCTGTATTCTTCTGGTTGTAGGCTGCACTATTATGAGGGAAGCAGCTCAGACAGCACAATCCATGACCTTTTAAAAACATATATGCAAAGTGTTATACAGAACTTTAAAAGCACTGAACTTTATAACCACATCTGTAAAGATATTTAGCAGACTCTTTGCCCACAGGAGATGTTACTGGGATAAAATAGTATTCTCATCGACCTGTCAAAGAAATACGTTCCAAACTGAACATGTTCATTCTCTCCTGCGTACAGTACGGAAACAGTGAATGTGAAATGAAATAGGTGATCTTTTGTGACTTTTTAAGTGCATTGAAAGTGTAGTCATGATGTTTCCACCTGTCTTTCTCTTTAGGATCTGTCTACTGTTAGTCCTGTGACTCTGTGTGTGGATCCACATGGATTTTACCTCTACTGGACTGACCAAAACAAGGTTGAGCACATATATATACACAGACATATACTGTACACTTCTAAATGCATACCTACTCTATGTTGTTGACAGGTCAGATAATGAGGAACAAATTTAGCTTCTTGCTAAATGCAAAATCAAGTTAATTAATAAAGTCCTTTATGCAAATCTGAGTTGTCAAATCATCAAACTGGGATATTAGCTAAATGTCTGTATCCTCTTTTTCTATAAACTCTTTACTCTAATTAATTGACCCTCACAGAGTGTAAGTTACTGTTTTGTTGAAATCTCCATTTTAAACAAAATTACAGGCCAAATATTCTTTAAATCATTTGACATTACCACATTTAAACTAACACACCAGAGAGAGCAGCCATAGACATTAGTTCCTTTAAACAGTTTACCCACTGTGGTTAATTTGCAGGCAGTAGCTGCAGGCATCCCAATATAGAAACAGGACAACATCAGGAGAGGATTTGCCATGATGCTGCCTACTGTGGTTCAGTTTCTGGTTTTGTCTCTTAGCTTCTGGTTGCTGTTGCTGGCTCTAGTAAATACAAGTAAAAAGTGGCCCTGATGTGTTCAAAAAGCCCGAATAAACATTTCACAAAGCTGGGAACATGTCCACATTCTTTAAGATGGTCATATGACCAGACAACACCATAGATTAAAAAAATTAAGATTAAAAGATTAGGATTAAGGATTAAAATCTTTAGGTCAAAATTACGTTTGGTGTGAACGTGCTTACAGCTAGTGTCCTCTGGCTTACTGTGTGTTGCAGCAGTAATAGCTTTACATGAAGCGCTTATCACTACGATGTGCGTTATGTTATTAAACTGGTCACATGTTTGCTAAAATGTAGGTGCAAAGTGATCACAAACAGCAGATGTCTACACAGCACAATACATACCCTCTTCCCATGTATATACTATGTGCATAACATGCACTGGCTGTAGAAATATGTTATACATATACACGAACTGTGCCGTTATGCCAACTCTGAATAAGTACTGCAAAGAGCAAACAAGCATGTGCTCATTGATAGTCACAAACACACACACTTAAACTTTACTTTAGCTCCATGTGGCCTTAAATCCTTAGCAGGAAACCAGATGAAGCATTTATCTCAGAGCAACAGCTGACACGGTGTGTATGTGTGTGTGTGGGTTTGTTTCCATTAGGACACGGAGCTGTTGGACCTGACCCTTGTAAAAGATGTCAGAACAGGTAGAAGCACCAAAACACCCAAGGTACCGTCACCTCTCAGCTTCCGTTTATCTGTACTTCACCTTTCTCTTTCTGCTGTCTCCTGCTGTTACCTCTCCTCTCAGAGAAGCTTCTCTACTTGCTCGCTGCTTCTTTGACCTCTCACTGAACGGTTGCTCCTCTTAAGCTCTTGAGTTTTCTCTGCTGTTCTGTTGTGCACTTGTATTACCTCATGTAGCTGGCATCATTGTTGCTTTGTAGTGAGTCTGGCTTTTCTCTTCAACCAGTTCTTCTCTTATCTGTGTAAGTTTTATTTTTTTGCTATGTTTTATTTATTTATTTACTTTTTACTTTGAGAACATTTCTCTACAGTCATGCACTACATAATGCTTTGAGGCTGCTTATGTCCTGTCACTGTGTTTTAACTGTCTACAGCTGGAAGCACTTTGTGTGTGTTGCTTGAAAAGGGCTCTATAAATAACAGACAATTTAATATATATTGTTCAGGGGGAGTGAGACTGTGTCAGCACCACTATCACAAGTCCCCTCCTATACCTGCACATTTATTTTGTCAGCCAGAAACCAGTGTTCTTATTGTTATGTGAGGACATGTTCTTTAAAAATGCGTTAAGAGAAGGTAAGAAGGATAATCAGTGCATACTGTACATGTGTACTTACCTACATTTGGTGGGGTCTAATTCCAGCACTGATTAAAAGCAAGAACCAAATATTTTGAAATTCAGTGTGCTAATAAAAGTGACACGCCAAGCCAGAGTTGCAACATGATTCATTTATGATTAGACTGAGCTTTATTCACTGCTCTTTCATGATGCCATCCTATTTGCGGCGTTCACTGTGTGACGCTTTATTTTGAGCCGTGTTTTGTGCCAGTGTTGTTTTAAATGTCAGAATGCAGCAGATAGAAAAGTATTTTTGTCAACATTAGATGAAAAGAGTGAGTTATTTTTATTTTTTTTACACATTCAGTCATAAATAAATGTATGTTGAACATAACGGACAGTTCAGGGATGAGCCTGTGTGCAGTCTGAACATAAACTGACAGCTTCTTCAGCCAGCGGGTAAGATGCTGCATGTTCAATTAGCACAGTAAACAATATGCTTAACAGTGACAGTGTCTTTCAGATTGCTTATTATGACTGATTTCAAATGGTGAAACTATTGTACTGTGTTTGCCAACACGTGCAAATGATAGATAAAACGGTTTTCTTATGTTGAACTGCCTGTTAGTTCACTGACTTTTAGAACAACTAATTCTGAACAGAAAATATTTTCTCATCTTTCAGCTCATTGTTTCTTGTTTTCCATCTGCAGGTTTTTCCCCCCTTGCCACTGCGTAACATGCATCACAGTGGCACGTTATGTTAAGAATATGGCCATTCACACTGGATTTAAACTTTGTCTGAGAGACATATTATCCTGTCCTACGCTATAATAGCAGGACACATATCCCAAATGGCCTCCACCTCCCCTTGTCTGTCCGTCTCCTCTCTTTGGCTTCGTTTCAGCAGACAGCTTTCATTCTGTGTCATCCAATAGGAGGCCAAGCTGCGGGAGCTGCTGGATGTGGGAAACCTGGTTGGTCGACTGGAGAATCGCATGGTTACCGTGGTTACAGCTTCAGACCTTGTAAACGTCAACCAGCTCAACTTCATTGCCTCACAAGAGGACGAAGCCAAGGTACTGCACTCACTACAGTGATGATGTCAGGGGCTGATGATGACGATGATGATGATGATGATCTGGTTTCTGTAGGTGTGGTGCGAGGAACTGTTTTCTCTGTCTTCCAACCTGCTGAGCCACAATCTCAACAGAGACCACAGCTTACTGAAAGCGTGAGTAGACAAATGCATGTACACACTGTACTCACACTTCATCTTCAGTCTGTGGTTTGTTTTTATTCTTTATCTTTAATATTGTCAACAAATTCCAAAGCCAACAATATATTGATTCTACTAACAAAGCCTGATATACAGCACCTTAAAGGTCAATATAAATCATATCCTTTAAAATTATTTTAAAATACTAAGTCTTAGTGGGACCCTTTTTACCTTCTATAACTGCATCATATTTCAGATTTCAAGTAAATGTTGATTGTGGAATACAATTAAGAGCCTCTATTGAACCAGACTATGTGCCCACTCATATTATAGGAGAAGCGTTCCAGACACCATTGTAATGTCTGTGTTTGTGAAATGACAAGGAAATCATATTTAGCTTTTCAAAGCCGGTGGTTTCAAGGTTGTGAATTTGCTGAAAAGCTCATGTTCTCTTATGTAAAACATGATAAAAGAACATTGGTGATTACTTTGTTCGGATCTCCACTGACCCAGATGTTCTCCCTTCAGTTTTCCATCTTAGCTTTTTAGCATCTGAACTTTATGGCACCGATGAGACTGTATTGTTTCAATCTGTATGTTGCTCTTTTTTTAGAGCTGTGATCAGAATAGATTAACTTAAATTAACTAGGACACCAGATTGATGTCTTACCCCCCCAGACCTCCATTTAATAAAGTTCAATTTTTTGCTGAAGACCCCCAAGAAATGTTGCTGCCTCTCTAAGCCATAGGTGGAAGACTGAAGGGGGAGTCACTGAAGTCTGTGATCGTGATAATTATTCTCATGAAGCTGTTTCCCATTTTGTTGGGTGGTCCCTTGAGATCTGTGGAGTTTGGTCAAAGAAATCAAGCGTTATGAGATGCAGCTAATGGCTTTTGGATGCTCTTTGTTTCAGATACGTCAGGTTAACTCTCCAGCCAAATGCAGAGGGGAGAATCCCTGTGAAGAAGTGAGTTCCTGATTGTTATTGCCTTCCTAATGTTTAATCAGTGGTTCTATCCACACATTAACTTTGAAGCACATGTTCCAGGAGATGGCTGAGGATGTGAGGAAATAGCCCTATGAAATCTGCAGAGACTCACACAAACCTAAACTTTATTTCCTGTCCCTTGCCTCCAAAAATAACCTTAATTCCACGTGCACCTGGGAAAGCAAAAACAGGGACAGAATTCATGAAGGTGCTTAATTCAGGACTGACCTGGTAATCACCACTGCCAGAGCATGAGAGGGATAATATGATGGAGAGCTGCATTTTAGCAGCAGACCATGCAGAATCGGGGTCAGTTGATGAGAGCTGGAGGTTTAAAGATGCAGAGATGGTTTGACAGTGTCGAGGGAGAGCGAACACTCAACCCCAAAAAGGGCGTATCTTTCGCTTTCCCCCACACTCAACTAATCAATGCACTTTTGTTAACTGTAACACTGAAGCGATCTGTTAATTTGCACATACTCACAGAATACTGCTCTGTACATATGCAGATATTGTGTATTTATCTTTGCACTATTTACATACATTGAACTGTTAACTCATGTAACTTATACTGCATTATTCCATTTCACCCCATTGCACTAGTGTTTAATAAGCTTAATGTACTTTATCTATTACTTTTAAAGCTTAATGTACTTTATCCATTACTTTTAAATTAAATCCATAAAATTTGTTGTATATTGTACATTACCTTACATATCTTACTGTAAATATCAATTGTACATACAGTATCTATCAGTAAATTAGTACTGTGTGTACATACTGTAGATTCTGTGCACTCTGCTCTGCACTGCTGTTATTGTATTTCTGGTTAGATGCTAAAGTGTATTTCGTTACCTTGTACTTGTACATGTGTAATGACAGTAAAGCTGAATCTAATCTAATCTAATCAAACCCCACAGAAGGTGTATGTTTCGCTTTTAGCACTCACTTCCCCCAATACACCCTCTTTGGGGTTGAGTTCTAAGTGGCGCCACCTATTGGGGAGAGAGTTGGGGCAGACTTTGAGAAGCAGAATGAGAACATCTGAATAGTTAGGGTGAAATGTGTTAAGGTAAGAGAGCGGGACGTGTGAGGAAGGTACAGGAGGTTCTTGGGAACTGTGGTAAGGGAAGTTTTGTGGAGTCAGAGGACGACAAGTAATTCTGAGGTGATTAATTAAAGGGGAAAGTCTGGAGGAGATATTTTAAGAAGTAAAAATGTAGGTTTTGGCTTGGTGACATGTTGTGGTTAAGGCTGAGCTGATAATGGTGTGATTGTCTGTTGCAGCATCGTTCGACTGTTTTCATCAGACAGAAAGAGAGTGGAGAATGCCTTGGAGAGCTGCAGACTGCCCTACGGACGGGTAAACACTTCGCATAAGTTTGTAGTATGATTAGTGGCAGTAAACAGTAGATACATGAGAGATTAATCAGAAAAAATCTGCCAGACATGCTTTGAAAAGCTTCGCTTTAGATAACCACGTACATATAAAACAAACAGTCTTTAACCTTTTTCCTTTTTTGTCCATTTTGTCGTGGTGTTGAGGCTTTTATCTGATGCTGTCCACAAGGACTCACAGGGGTGAAATATCTGGGTCTTCAAGTAAAAAGCATCAATGCAAAGAATCCGACTCTTAATTCTCACTGAACCACACACTGAATATTCCTATGAGCACAAAAGAAACCTTTATAATAGAGAAGATTACAATTATGAGGCAGATAAAGTAGGAGATGCTGGAAGTGAATGCAGTGTCTCAAACACTGGCAATATAAATAGTTGTCAAATCTGTAAAAAGGTTTTTATGCCCATGTCCTATATTTTGACAGGGTGACAGTATCAGACTGGAGGACTTTACACTCGAAGTTTACAGGAGCTTTTTGGACAGTCTGTGTCCTCGTCCTGAGCTCAGCAACATCTTTAAACTGCAGTAGGTATCCACCTGATTTACAGCTACAGTCTGGACTCTGAAACGTATTTATCTTCAGGAAGCCACTCTACAAAATTAGCTTTTTAAGTGTGTAGTTGTTTGCTTCAGGCCAATTTCCTTGATGGGGGAAGAATGATGAATGATAATCTTCTGTCCCACTTGTGCACACAGAAGGATTACAAAGAGGTTGTATCTTTAACTTTGGACTGTTAATCACAGTCTTAACTCTCATATGTTCAGCAAATTCAAAGTCTGTCTTTACTAATTAATGAATGGAATATTTTCACCTAATTAGTCTATAAAATGTCAGAAAATAAGGACAAATCCCTATTCCAAGTTCTCAGCACTTAAATCAGCTTTGACTTAATCGTATTATCTGAACAAGAGTTAAAACCTCAAAGGGATTCAGTTTATAATAATGTGAGACTGTGAAAAATAAACTGACCTATTGTAAACACTATGGTGATTAAATACATCAGTGTACTTGTCAAAAAATACTATATATAATATATATTATTTTGGAAAACATCTGGTTTATCTTTGTTCATAAATGGCATATTAAGTACATTTGTACAAGCAGTTCTCACACTAGGCCTACTGTCACCTCCATGGACACCTTATAACTACATAGGACGGTTACACCTTTTAAACGTCAAAGTTTTAAATGCAGGTCATTTGTCTAGATCTGTACACATCCTGTAGCGCCCTCTAATCTCAGCCCTGCTCCTGCTGTGCTGTGTAGAGGAGAGGATGATGGGACTTTGTCAGTCAATCAGATGACAGAGTTCGTCAACAACAAACAGAGAGACCCGAGGCTCAATGAAATCCTCTACCCGCCTCTTCGTCCTGCCCAGACACGCATACTGATGGAGAGGTATCAGCATGACCAGGCACAGCTGAAGCAAGGTACAAACATATTCATTAATAATGAATGATATTATCAACTCATCAGCTGTGTTTGTTGTGTTTGTTAAAAGCCTGTAATGTCCATGGATTAATACCACAATACTCTTCAAGCCCACCCACATCCCCACAGAGTGTAAAATACTAAAATAAGCCCTTACGATGGGCACATTTGTATTGGATCCTGCCAGAAATAAATTTGGCTTCCAGCACCACCTGCCATAGTCTTTTGTTATTTTTTTCCATCTGTGATATAATAAAGCAAACCAGAATCCTTAGTAAGCCCAAGTCTGTCTTTTCTGTATCTACATGATTAGTACCTAGATCATGGTACTGTTAAACATCTTTTACTTGCAGTCTATTTAGGGAAGAATTTAAATTTTATGACATCTAAAGGGTCTCTTAGGATTTCACTGTGTGTTCTCCATCATATATACTGTATGAAGTCACACTAAAACTACTGTTTCAGGTTCACATTTTCATTTTCATTTTCAATTAGCTTTGCTTTACTATGTCTTGTTAATTTAGACAATTTGTGGATTAAGATTTATCATATTTTTTAAATGCTACAATATGATTACAGCTGTAAACCGTGAGTAACTATATGTGTGTACATACGTAGCTCTTACATCATGTTGTTTATATTAGTTATTAAGAAATTATCTTCCCCAAGTATACAATATCATCTGATCTATATTCATGTTGGGAAGTAAATCGGGCCGTAATGTAATATGATTGTCTAAGCAAAGTGGTTTACTTTGCCAAATGTATTTATTTTCTTGTCTCTGTCATGTTGAGTAAGGGATGGTAGTCTACATATTATAACAACTTAAAGACAAGTGAGTATTTATATTTTGTGGTTAAAAACGATCAATATACTGTATTAAAATATCAGAAGAAGGCACTTAAGGCTTCATAAATCATTTCATGTGGCAGATTTAAACTTAAGTGTGAAATTTGTAACCTGTTTTGATTTGTGTGTCTCTTTCCTTTGTGTTGTTTAGACGTCATCTCTCTCCAGGCATTCTCCACTTATCTGTCCAGTGAGGAGAACGGAGTCATCCCACCAGACAAACTGGATCAGTCTGAAGACATGAGCTTTCCCCTGTCTCACTACTTCATCAACTCCTCACACAATACATACCTGACAGGTATACACATATCATACACGCATGCAACTCCTTTTCAGTTTAGCTGCCAGCAACCAATGGATCAGTGTTACTTTGCATTGACAGATTTATTTATCTAAGTGCCTTGTTAGGAAAGACTCACTCTCTGCAGGAAACAACAACAGCCTCGAGGACCTTAAAGTTATGAGAGGATGCTTGTTGATGCGTGTTAGATAATGAGCCACAGTCTGGACTGATTCTAGTGGTTGGCTATTTATTCAGTCACTCCATAGCTGGTATGAACAGCAGAGGTGGTCTGTAACAGTCATGAGCACATATGTTTGTTTGTTGTGACTCCAGTGTGTCCAGAATCTCCAAACAAGATGACAGTTCTGTGAATAAAGCATCATGTCGAACATATACGCCACCCTCCGTCATTATAGTGCTTCAGAGTGGCACTGAGCTCAACATCTTGAATCACCTCTACTATGCATCTGACATGCATTTGCAACACTGTCACTGATATGAAAAACTAAACGCACACAGGATTGTGTTACCAGAACTAAATATGAGCTAATCCACTGAAAAAGAAACCACACAAATCTGATCCAAACAGGCGGAACCTGAGTGGACCCAAAGGAAATGGGACATGAAAGGGCTCGAGGCCAGAATAAGTGGTCAACACCTTTTTGTGGATGCACCAAAATGTTGATTGTGATCTTAAAATCCATAAGCTTTGTAAACAAAAGGCAACAAAGCTTTCCCACTCTGGTTAGAACAGGGAAAACAAACTCCCCCTAAAGTACAGATATAACATTGTGTTCCATTCTGTTTGTCCTTGTGCATTAGCGGGCCAGCTGGCAGGGAGCTCCTCAGTAGAGATGTACAGGCAGGTTCTCCTGGCAGGATGCCGCTGTGTGGAATTAGATGTCTGGAAAGGACGAACTGCTGAGGAGGAACCTGTCATCACACACGGGTTCACCATGACATCGGAAATCTCCTTTAAGGTGTGTACACCCAAGTGTCACAAGTCTTTTTAACTTGTTAAGAGACTTGTCAAATCTGTGCAGCTTGGCTGAATTCACTGCAATGTAACACAGCTTTACAAGTGTTTACAATATTTTAATTCTTGTCTCTAAAGTTCAACATCACCTTGTGTTTTTGTGTCAGTGACCTGCTAGTAAAACATGGAGCGCCTCTCACAGGTCATCTGCAGATTTTTCTGAGAACTAAAATCAGACTTTGATGGTGCTGTTTTTGTTTTTATGGGGTTAAATGTTGTTGTTTTATTGTTGAAATACAGTTTTAATACTTTAGTGCTGTCCTTTTATTTTATATTTCCCAGGAAGTGATTGAAGCCATTGCAGAATGCGCCTTCAAGACCTCGCCTTTCCCTGTCATACTGTCTTTTGAAAACCACGTGGACTCGTGAGAATCTCTGTCTTTATTTATGAGCTGATGATTCTATATGACCGATTATAATCAGAGTGGATTAAGAAGGAGAGTGATGACATCTTCTCCATGGACTTTATAAGAACTGTTATTTTTCACTAATGGCGGATTACGGGGATGTCAAATGGTTTCAAAGATTAGATCAGTGCCACAGAGTTACACTGACTTGGCTGATGTCATCTAGAATAAGATGTTAAAATTAATGGTAATAATTTAACTTTTTACACGTTAACATGTGTCAGAACATGTGGGTACCGAGCTAATTTAGCTGAACAGAATTAGTTTACAAGGCTATTCAAATCATTAAAAGTATTAATTTGCTGATAAATCCTGCTGTTAATCACCTGCTTGGTGGAACTATTTGAAGCCACATGAGTCACCTGCAACCGTTTTGGCTGTCCCAACTCGTCTATCTTAAGGGCTCTGATTATAATGTAAGGTGTTTCACATATTTCTCTGTCTATTTAACTACTAATCCATCTATCAGTCTGAAGCAACAGGCTAAAATGGCTGAATACTGTCGGTCCATTTTCGGAGAAGCTCTGTTGATTGATCCTTTGGACAAATACCCTGTAAGAGCACACACACACAGGACAAACTGGCTGTTGTTAGCTGACCGTTGTTAATGAAGCACTAATTGTACTGTGATGTCCCCTGTGCATAGCTGGAGTCGGGTGTCCCCCTGCCCAGTCCTCAGGAGCTGATGGGAAAAATTCTCATCAAGAATAAGAAATCTTACAAACCATCCAACAACACAGACACCAAGAGACTGACAGACCAACCTACCAATCAGAGCAACGAGCCAGTGTCTCCTAGCAACCACACAGGAGGTAAGACAAAACAAAAGGAGCCTTTTCTCAGAAATCCATGTGAAATGTGCTCAGCTGTGACACACCACAGTCTTTGTATCAAAATAAAAAGCAGTCAGCACATTTTTCTTTCATGTTTAGGCCACGGAGCTCTATTCTATTCTATTCTCTTCTATTTGTACAGCACCAAATAACAACAAAAGTCATCTTAGGGCACTTTACATAGTAAAGTCTAGACCTTACAGTATTTAAGGGAAAACCCAAGCAACCCCAGCGATGAGTGGATGGAGGAAAGAGAAAAGACAAGAAAAGAAAAGCAACAAGATGCAACAACAAACAATCAAACACTGGGCAGGTTGATTTGGCCGGGGACTGCTCAACAGAAACATAGAGCTCCAGGGCCAGGGCAACCTGCAGAAAGGTACAGGGAGAGAGAGAAAGAGAGAACACACTATGGCAGTGGTCCCCAACCCCCGGGCCGCGGACCGGTACCGGTCCGTGGATCAATTGATACCGGGCCGCACAAGAAATCATTAATTATTTCCGTTTTATTTATTATCTGAGTCTGAACGATCTTTTATTTTGAAAAATGACCGTATTCTCTCGGTTACATCTCGGTCACTTGAGCGCCAAAACTGGCTTACTTGTGGACATATTCAGCCTGCTCAATGAACTCAATCTGTCACTTCAGGGGAAAATGACAAC